ACCGCGACGATGAGGCCGGTGTCCCTTTTCTGTTTCTGACTCCGACCAGACGTCCCTTTCACGCCCCTCGTCGCGCGCATCTTCTCGGCTTCGCCCTGCACACCTACCAACTCGGCCCCGTCATCTCCACTCGGTTAGTATTTCGGCGTCCCCACACCCCAGTCACGTCACCGCTGGTGTCTGGGGCCGCCTCATCGTACATGCTGCAAAGGGCTTGAATACTCCTACGCCAAATCTGTATTATTCTCCCCAGTCCTCGTTCCGGTCTTACCCAGTCACTCCCGCAGTGGACCGCGAGTCTACCCGGCGTCACCTTGGTCTCCCCCCGAGATTGTTGAATGCCAGGCAAGAATTCAAGCCATTCCTCGTCCCTTGTCGGCGGCATCGTCCAATCCGGCACATTGCTGCGGGCGGAGACGCCTTCGCCGGATATGTGGTCTCACAGCCCTCTTCGCTCCAACTTGGCCATTGCAGCACCGCTCATTCGAGCGGTCACTGTGACCCCGAGTTCTTCTTTACGCTCGTCGATGCTTCTTGGCGACGACATTGATAATGGGATCGACGACCAGGAGGACGAAGATATGATCCTTCAATCCGTTCAACACAAGGGCTCCCCTCACACTTTCCATTCGATGAACATGTCAGACCTAGACGCGCCATGGTCAACTCTTCCACTTCAAATTCCTCCCGCTCGCCCGAGTCTCTGGACAATCTCCCGGCGCACTTCTATCCTCCGTTCTGGACGATGACAGCACATACCTCCCTCCCCAGATCAGCCTGTAGGAGTTGAAGTTGATGCCCAGGTGGCATTGACCGAGGGAATTGACCTCCTTTCGACGTGCTCAGCTCCGTATTTGGGTCGTCTTTGGCGCCTTCCGAACTCGAAGAGGCACTTACAACGAACGGTTTATGACTTTTGAGCGGGCGATGGCGTGGTTAGTCGACCGGGCCATGCCTCCTGCTCAGTCTGGCTCCCAAATCCGTGGACAGATCCAGCAAATGGGGGGCAGAGTAACGGTCGTTCCTCGGGACGCTGGTCGTGGCCGAGGTGACCTGCGCTCTCCCCCTAGGTATGTCAACGGCAGACCGGTCCCAAACGGAAACCGCGTTTGCCGGTATTTCGTTGCTGGGGAGTGCCTCCGCGCCGATTGTCGATTCAGGTAAGAAGCGTGGCTTTCGTGGATGGATTATTTCTGATTTTCGGATAGTCACGATCTGGAACGTGCGTTTGTGTCGTTTCTGGCTTCGCGGCACCTGTGCCAAACAAGAGAACTGCGAATTCCTCCATCATCTACCCAAGGATGTGGACTTGACCAGTCTAAACGTGGCAATGCAGCGAGCGAACGTTGCCCCGGGAACCGGGCCACTTGCCGGACACCCTGCAGTGATGGCTGCTGCGGCTCAGGAAGATTTTCCCGCCTTGGACGGCAGCACAGCGCGTCGAGGCAATTTCGGAGGGTATCTGAACGATCCCGCCAGAACCCGCTTTGCCGCGGCTGTCAAGAAATCGGCGCCTGCACCGGATCTGCATCTTCGTCGGAAGCCATGGGGAATTCTGCAGATAACCTCTACCATCGCAGTGCCATTGTTGCGCCGCGTCCTTCGCCCCGTCTCAAGCTACACGCCCCGACGTTGCTTCCGACGTTGCCCACTGGCGATGCAGTCAACAACATGTACATGACGTACAGATCGCGCGCTCTCCAGCTCGGTGCTGCGCGCAACGCCTGTTTATCACGTGCTGCCGATGCCTGGCGCCGAGGGGATGGTGCCGCAGCAAAGAGATTCAGTCGCGAAGGCCACGAGCTTAACGACAAGATGGCGAAAGAAATGCGTTCGGCCGCGGAGCGGCTAGTGCGCGAGAGGGCATCTATTGTCGAAGAGGCTGTGCGATCTCGCGATGCTTCGTGGTCCGACGATCCTGGCGATCGCGCTGCCCGTGGAAGAAGCTGTGGAGCCCGTTTTGGTGTCGTTCTAGGTATTTCGTCGAAGGAAATCGGCGACAACAAACTCAGTGCCGAGGAGCGCACTGAAGCCATAGTCGACCTCCACGGTTTGCACGCCAATGAGGCTACCGATGTTTTGGAAGAATTCCTGCTGGCAGTGAGTCTGCTTTCTTTCCTAGCCGTTGATTTCCTCTCGCTGACGCCTGCACTAGTTGGAACAGAAAGAACGGTTCTTGGGACTCGCCTACATCATCGTCGGAGAGGAGAAGCACACGGGAACCCAGGACATGGCTAGAGGAACTTCACGGGCTCGGCTTGCCACCGGAGTCCGAGAATGGGTGCATCGTTGGGGCTATCCGTGGAGCGAAAGAGATGGAATCATCTGCGTCGACCCGCTCACTCATGCTTCCGAGTAGAATGGAATCAGTTAAAGAAGACGATTAAACAAGCCATGTATTTGTAGCCGATGGAAGGGAATCTAACAATGCAATAATTAACACGCATGAGCCAACAGATAAAATTCATAATGGTAGGTAATCTCGTGGTTGTAATCATTACTGGCTGAGGACACTGGCTGCATCAGAGGAAATGGCCGCTTTTATGTCTTCTGGACTGCTGGGATCCGGCAAACCGGCATCTCCGTCCCGGACCTGAACAGGCAGTCCAAACACCGGGTTCGTGGGGCTGATTGGCTCGGCAAGTGAAGACGCATCGGAGAAACTGTACACCGAAGTTCGTTGTCCAGGTGGCGGTCCATTGCCTGGCGGTCCCGATGAAACGCTGGACCGCGAACTAAAGAACCCTGTCAACTTCCGTGACAGCGGTGCTGGGCCGGGTGCTGCTCCTGTGCTCGGCAACGCTGCACTCGAAACGATGGGAGAACCAGTTACATCGGGACGAGGCGCCGCGGTCCCATCACCCTTCCACAACTTGAACCCCCATCCCTTGTCTTTCCGCGGCTGGTCTAGCCCCGACTCGTCACCCGTCGTCGCAGCCGGCAGTGGAGGCAATTTCACTTCGGCATCCAAGTTGGCGCCGACCCCATTCGCAGCAATGAAATCGCGAAGGGCTGCAGCACAATTCTCGGAAGCTTCTCTCGCCTCGATCGCTTCGCCTAGCTCGTGTCGAGTCTCCTGCAGTGCACTTTGCGCCGTCTTCAGCTCGTTCCGAAGCTTTTCCAGCTCTTCATGATCATGCGAAGACGATGACGATGTCCGTGAGATGTGTGGCCCGACGTCTCGCGGAGGAGACGCTCGTCCAAAGAACCCAGACGATCGACGATTCGCCGAGGGAGAAGCAAAAGTAAGCGACTGGTTCGGAGACGGTGCAGTGATTTCTAAGCTGACATTCGAGTCTGAGACAGAAGATATGCGTCGATGTGCGTTGGGACGGAATGAGTTTCCCGCAAAGGTGCCAGTGAGCGGTGTGAACGACGCCCGTTTAGATGATGGGGGACTCATGGTGAACGCTGTGGTATTAGCGCGAGACGTGTCAAGCGCCATGGAGGGCTGGCGTCGTTCCGCTTGTAATCGCATCAAGCCGCGTCTGTTGGTGCGAGATTTAGGGTCCCTCCGCAGCTACATGGTCAATGCACGCGTACCTGCTTTCCTCTACCTTTGTCCGCAGGAGAGATATTGCTTCTTCGTCATCCTTATTCTTTCTCTTAGTTTCAGAAAGTGCCTCATCCAGTGCCATCGCCTTGTCGGTGATGTGCTGCAGAGCGTCTTGAAGCTCGGCCTCACGGGTAGCTGAGGTGGCAATCAAAGCAAGCAAGTCATCCCGCTCTCTGGTCATTCCTGTGAGCTGTTGACGGAGCTCGCTGATGATATGCGCGAGGACATGCGGGTCAATGTCGGGCATTTGGAACCCGGAGGAGCCACCGGGTCTGTGCCGAGGTGGCTCGGGCTGTGGCGGAGGGTGTGATGGAGTGGAAGGCTGTGAGTCCATATTGAGCTGATGCTCGAGCTCAAGGCTCAAATCGATAGAATACCGGGACCTTTCGGCGGGGACGGCAGCAGAAGGAGGAGAGTCGAATTCGGGGCTCGTGGCCATGTCAGGGCATATACAGGTTGTCGTGAAGGTCAAAGAAAGGTCGTCCTAAGACGCACCACAGCTTAGAGAACGTCAAAGACGTGGGACGAAAAAGTCAAGGGCGAGTATGCAGTCGTGTCGTGAAGGGTCGTTTCGAGTCGGATAGAAATCACGTGTTTGTCATCACAATAGCCCGTTGTTAGGGGCTTGAACATGACACTGACAGGTACATTGCAATCTGAATCGCTGCCTGCTACATACATATGTACAATTACACTCTAACTACGCTCATCGCAAATCCTGCCGCAAGTCCCATCGGTCTACAGTAGAGCGCGTGTGCAGCTTACTCTCGAAATCTGCTCCTCATGGAAAGCCCGGCATCTTTTGGCTCACCTCTCGGCAACATCTCCATGGCCACCACCACCACCACATTACTTATTTCCCGGAACTGCGGACGAAGCAGCTGTCGTTGGTGCTTTCATTCGACCGCTTCAGGACATCTGCTCGTCCCAATGGCCGTCATCTCCATCCCCCACTCAATGCTCATCCCGTTTGGGGTGTAGTTGCTCTTTGGCGCTTCGGTTTCTTTAAGCGGCAAGGTCAAGCTTGCACTGCGACCGCTATGCTGCAACCACAACAGATTCGAAATATCAAAGGGACGTTGGGATCCAATGACCGCCGGTCCTATTTCAAATATCCCAGAATGGAAAGTGTATTACCAAAACGGGTGCGGGGAAAGCTGGCGCTGTCCTCGTCGATTCGAAGATCGCAGTTGCAGCAACGCCGTGCTTTGCAAGTGTCTGATTGCCTCGTTCCATGTCCAAAGGCTAGTGCGAGGTATTAAATCTCGTAGTCTCATTTGGATCCCGCAGAGCTGATTGGTAGAAATTGGCTTTCGCTTTCCGAGTCTCTTCTCTGGATGTACTTTATGTTCGAGCGAAGTGAGTGCATACGGAATTCGATTTGCTCGATCACGATGGGATTCTGCGTCTCCTTCAGTCCATCTCCTTTTTCAAACAATCGCTCTCACTGGCAATTTCTGAGCTTGGCACTGATGACACGTGACGTGATGACCTAAGCTGATACGCCAGGTCGCAGTCTAGTTCATCTTCGTCCATCGACTGGGAATGGAATCACTGAGGTTAGAACCATCGACTTGGCTGCGTCTGGAATAGTTTTCATGTTCGGTCGAAGAACATCCACCATCTCTGCGTCAGCAGACGTCCAGTTGGTTCCGAGATGTTCGGAGCAGTTCCGATATTCAAGGAGCTGACACAAGAGCTGACACAGAATATACCCAGAGCCAAGGCAGAGAGAGCGCCGGACTGCCGGGAATATTGCACAGCTGCTAAAGATCTGGACCCGCGAGAGTCTGCGGATGATGGTGTTGCTGCCAGACGGTGAGCAGGCTTTCCAGATTGTGTCGTTCCAAGAAAGTAGGCTTGGGTTTCGAGTTTGCCTGACAAATGTTGGAAGAATATCATATCACGAAGGTTCAGTCACAGCAGTTGACATAAACGTGTTCCGCCCCGGGAGATGCGTCTCTCTTGCCGAGAAAGGGTCGAAGAGATGAGATGAGCAGGAGGAGGCAATGTGTCGAGTATGCAGGCAACGGGTTGTTTTAGGCAACGAAAGCCCCATATACAGCGAAAAATAGACGCATGCTCATCCAAAAAGGGTCCATGCGAGCCAAGCGGGTAGGAATTTTGCGGCTGCAGAGTCTGAAATGAACGATATCGAGCTGCCAATGAGTGGTACAGACGAGATCTAAAGGGGGAGATGGATGAAATCGGGAATCAAAGTCCGTAGGACCTTCTGTACGTACAAATGCAAACGCCTTCAGGATAACTATGTAGCTACTTGCAACTTCTTCTTCCCTACCGTCATGTCCGCTCCCTCTCCTCCCCCCAAGCGCGACTCTGCGCCTGACGGCCCCTCCAAGAAGCGTCGCAAAGGCGCAACACGATTGTGCGTTTCCCCTCGTGCCTGACAGTGGGATGTAGACACTGATTCCCACTCCGCCTTCCTCACCAATTCACCATTCCCAATCCTCCACGCATTCGAACGTTGCTCTCTCGAAAGGTCTTGCGCTGAGTGTCGAAGGTGATCGCTCTCGCCAATCAAAAATCTGCTTCCGCTGAGCACGATGACATCAGACTGAAATTGCGCTGCGATCGTTCCATCCCCTGCGGTTCTTGTGTAAAGGTACCTGCAGACGACTTCTTCAATCGAGCCATTATCAACATCTGTGTCTTCAGCGCGGATGTGGTGCCATCTGTCCGGATGTAAGTTCTGTGACTCGTCCCTCCGATCCTTGCCCTAACCAATCTCCAGGGCTCTTTAACAACTGGCCAGGGCAATCGGTGCGGTATTTCAATCTTCAACCAGACGATCTCTCACACGAAACAGTTTTGTCCTCGCATCAACTCAAGAACTACACGAAAAGATATCTGAATTGGCCAATCGGGTCCGGGAGCTTGAAGATGCACTACGCGCATCGCACGGCCGCGTCTCAAACGAGCAGCACCATTTACTTTCCGAGGATCTACTCCGTATCAAGGCCCCTTTGCAGCGGGAAGCCCATGGACTACGAAACCAGTCTCACACCGGGATAATAGTGAAGGAGGAAGAGCACAATCCTGATGTTGTCGACGCGTTCGGCTCCCTTTCAATTAGTCTATCTGGTGGGGCGAAGTACTTTGGGACAACAGCCAATTCTTGGGTATGTGCCATTGCGCTTAGGCTTTTGTGTTCTGTCCTCATGCATTTTTGGCTATCAGTACTTCCTGCAGGCGAGCGCCACTAAAGTCTACGCTTCGAACTGCACCTGACATCTTTCTTCTCCTCAGAATGAGACGGCAGAAGAGCAACCGGAGGACAGTCATCTTGCCAGCCTACAGGGTATGCTTCCGGAGCACATCCTCACTCGCGCGGCCGCATTCCCCATCTCTCCTGTGGCACCACCAGCGAACCAGGGGGAATCCATCCGCGGACTATTCTGGTTCCTACCATCTGGAGCAAAAGCAGCAGCCCTACGTGACATTTACTTTACTCACGCCGCATGGATGTAAGCTGGTTTGCTTACTCCCTCGGTTGACCTTCTAATTCTTGAGTCCAGGTACGCTCCTATTTCTCCGGAGTCGTTCGAGGCCGAGGTTTTTGCCCAGTTCTACGACCCGAGTGCAGCACCGCCAAGCGACCAACCCATTTCCGCTCATCGCCTTTCACTCTTATTCATTGTGCTTGCCATTGGCTCGCTCGTCGATACCTCTCAGCCTGCATATAACCTCGAGGCGGAGAAGTATCACCAACTGGCCCGTGCCTCGTGAGTTCTTTCTTGTATTGTGATCTTCTCCAATCCTTTGACTTGCCAGGTTGTTCCTGCATTCGTTTTTCGATCAGCCAACCATCAATGCTGTGCAATCTCTGGTCCGTCTCCGAGCTTACCCTTGAAACTTGACTTACGGGGAACTCAGTTCCTGATGGCATATTACCTTTTCTTAGCTGACCGTCACGGCACCGGCTCGGGTGCTCGATGGGCTATTATGGGCATCGCTGTCAAGGTTGCTCAAAGCGTACGTCTCTCTTTCGTTTCTTTTCGTTTCCGCTCATGCGACCAAAGATCGGGTTACGTAAGACGATAATGCATCAAGCACGGGTCTATTTCGCTCACAGCAGCATCTGTAGATCGGGATAGTGGGCGGTGGAAGGTCGATCCGATCGAGACTCAACGGCGGCGTGAACTCTTCTGGGAGGCACGTTGAAAATGACCCGCAGATCCTCGGCAGATGCTGACCGCTTCCCAGCTTTTCACCTATGATTCCTGGCAATGCCTCACTTTCGGGCGGCCGACCTCATTCGCGATGGCTCATGTTGACTGTAAACTGCCCAGCCTTGGCGAGCCTGCTGATGACCAAGCCTGTCAGTTGCTTGCAAACAAGATATTGTTATCTTCTCACAGTTTTTACATCCAGTCTACGCGTGGAAACATAGGTTCTGCTCAGAATGCATGATCTTGCTCCACGATCAGGCATTCGGTGCTAAAACTCCGACCTATGCTACTGTCCTCCAACTGGACCGGAAACTCCGCGCTTTCCCGGTGCCGAGTGTCCTGCAAGGTACGCACCCAGATCTGGTCTACGAGTCGACTCGGCGGGCCCCTGAATGCATGCGCAGTCGCGGGATTCGGCAGCTCCGAGCCACGTGCTGGGTATGTGGAGACAGTCATGCTTACATTGCAACGGCATATTGTGCTGGCGATCAGAGAAACCAGTGCGTGTTCCTTCATCGCGGAGCGGAATCGAAAAGAAGCTCAAAACGCGGCAGACCTATTATACCTTCACCGCAGTTTCTTCGCTCGTGCTATCAGCGACCACCCCAATGATCCACTTGGCAGTCCATACGGCAGCTCCGTCATTGCCGCGTACCGCAGCGCAGGATCTCTGCTAGCCCTCCTGCGAAACTTGCACAGCCAGCTCAAAGATCTGAGTGAACGGATATGGTATGTGCTGGGTTTCTACTGTGCTGCCACTCCTCCCCTCATTGGTCTGTCAGGTTCCTCTGGACGCATATGTTTTCGTGTGCAATTATCCTGGGAAGCATCGTCACCCGCTGCCCGTCCATGAGTCTCGCCCCATCGGCCTTGCTCCAATTGGATTCTGCATGCGAGCTCTTCTCGAAAGCTGCCCGAGGCTTCCGTGCTGTCAAAGTCCTCGTTAGTCCCGAGCGAACGTTTTTGCTCCTGATTTCTCATTCCCGAATGATTATAGAACATTATGCTTCGACTTCAAGAGAAAGCCCATCACAGTCTCGAAGACCACAGAAAGGGTAAAGTGTCCCCGATACTGCACCGGCACATGTCATCGGATGGCACGCCCACAGTAGAGGAAAACGACGAGCTGTCGACCCTGGGTGGCAGGACCCGGTTAGTCGCCAAGAAAGAGCCTCTTTCGCCATTGTTACTCGAACGCTCCCCGACATCCCACACTCCAATTGTACCGTTGCCGCTATCACCCTCAGTCAACGAGCAGATGCATCCCACCGTGCTGGAATATCTCAACACTTTCCAACAGCCCATGCATGGCTCGTATCCTGATGCAGATGTCGACATATCCCCTGTCTCCATGTACGGCATGTCCACAGTTCCTGGGCCATCTTCGTACCACTCCGAATCCAATGGTTCGTATCTGGCGCAACCGGCGAACCAAGCCATGGACACGTCTTCGTCTTCGTCGCCGCAGTCCTCTGTGTTCCACCAGAACATGGCTGTCCACACTAATGGTCACCAACGGTCCCACGGCATGAGCAACGGCAACACCTCATCCCAGGCCATGTCTTTCCCGTCTTACTTCCCCGTGTACGACTACCGGACAGCGAACATGGACGCGTATTCCTCCGTCCCGACTCTGGACGTCAACCCGATGCCCGGACAGCGCCGCTCCTCGACCGGTTCACCAGAGTCGGGTGGGAACATGCAGGCGGCGATCTGGAACGACTTTGTGGGCGATCTCATGAATTGATATTTTGCGTGGACTTTGTTGTATGTCTTGCCCCCGAGCTTGTATGTACAGTACGCCTCAGCGCCTTGACTGACTTCTTGAAGTAATGTATCGGTGTAGAATAGCAAACGCGGAGGAATGTATATATGCTGACGATGACGACTGGATCTACCGCTTTTTGGCCTGTCTGCGACTGTCCGCTGCAGTAGCGTCAGAATCAATTCCGAGCAAAGAGACAACCGAGGTAACGCACCTTTCGTCTTGGCCTTCTTGGGAGTGCCTTTGCCTCTGCGTTTCTTCTCCTGCACGTCGGCCACCCTCATCACCTCTTGCTCGTCCACAAGGTTCATCTTTGGATAAAGACGCGCCAAACTCGACACTTGAACCACCGTTGGATAGTAGTTGGCCATCGAAGGTCCACGCAGCCGGGCTCGCAGATATTTTGCACCCGTTCGAAGATTTTGTGGGTTGTACGACGTTTGGAAAATTTGGCAGCGCATGCGCGTTAGCGCTTTCAGCTTCGAAGGTGCAGTACGTAGGGCCTCCATGCTGGCAACGCGAACGACGTTGTCGAAGGTGGAGAGGCTAAAGTACTATGGTCGTGACCTCTTGGAAACAGCGTCAAACAGACACCACCACTACACTTGTGACCCAAAAAAGGAAGAGTTTTTCAGTCGCTGTCGGAATCACTACTGCTATCACTATCCTCGTCGTCATCTGTGCTGCTCTCTTCGTCACTTTCCTCATCCCGGGCATCTCCCGCTTGTTTCACGCTTCCTCCTTTCATCATGGCCATCTGGCCAGCGATCGAATCCTCCTCTGGGTCTGAGATGTCGTCTTCGACGCCTTGCTCGTCAGCAGTCAATGCAGACACATCATCGATTTTCATCTGGTGCCTGGTTAAAGCGCTTTCTCAAAGCGGCAAATGAAACGCTCACGATGATGTCCCTGTGTGTCTCTTCTCCAACGAAGGTGTCGCTGATCACATACACCCGCCATGTGAGTAAACCCGTGTTCTGGGGTGCCTGGAACTGGATTTTGTAGGCTCGGAAGTCGGATGCATCACCGGTCGTCCGGAACGGGATTTCCGCTACTTTCAGAGGCGGAACGACAACGCGATCCGACTTGTCATCAGCGAGAACGATCCACCAGTTTGGCTTCCTTGTCTGGAGGTCTGTTGAGCCCAAGTAGATGGAGATTTCAATGCATTACCCCTGGCCAGAAGGGAGCGTGTGCACCCCCGGAAAAAGTTTGTCCGGGTAGCAAGTCTTCCGCATCCTTACGCGAGTTGAGGAAGGTCTTCTCTCGCTCATCCAAAGCCCGGAGCTGCTTCTTCGTCTCATTGGCATCCAGCTCCTCACTTTTGGGGACCTCGGCGCCAGGAGGGACAACCCGCAGCTTGACCACAAGATAGACGATGGACGATGGGACAATGATTCGTTCCCCAATCACTGGAGCGGAGATCGGCCAGGGAAAGTCGGGCGGGAAACTATTGATCACACACCTCGGAAAGCCACATCGACCACTTCAACCCGACCCCATTGGTTCAGAGCCTTGCGAACATCACTGACACGACCGTCAGACTTGGCCTGCAACGACTGGACGAATTCCGGATAATCGCCCTGACTGGGTCCACTCTCCTCGACCTTCACACCAGGAAGCTGAGCAAGCTGGTTCTCAGGTTTCGACGTTGGAGCCAAAGCTTGAGCGATGAATGCATGAAGCCGCATGATCGCAAGAGAAGGTGTCAACCAGTTGCGTGACTGAGCCATCATGAGCAAGGCATTCAGGAGAAGCGGGGTCTGGAGCACAAGCGCGGATTGCTCTGCACAAATCAGCAATCGCGTATGAACTTCAGACGCAAGTCGCACCTTTGCTTAGTGCCGGATCAATGTCAAGTCGCAGAAGATATGCATACAATAAAACCATGGCTCGCTTCTGTTGAGCACTCTCGCCTGTGATGGCAGCCCACTCTTGATCCCCGAGCACTTCCTTGACTTTCGCCTGGACCTCTTGCGTTCCAGTCTTGGACGCTGGAACGTGCTCAAAGGCATAGGATGACGCGAGAACCCGGACGACGTCGGCTTCTTTCGATTCCTCCGTCAAGCCCTTGAAGAATGCAGCGGCAGATTCAGCTTGGATGCCCTCCTTGGTGCGTTTCCGATTTCCGAACCACCAACGACCCACAAGCGAGGGAAGAAGTCCACCGAAAATCAATCCGTACGCGCCCAGCACGTAGATGTTATTGCTTCCAGCGACGATCCAGGCGGGGAGGGCGATACCCATGCTCATCTCTTGCCGGCCATCGGGGTTTCCGTATTTCTCCCAATTTTCGCGAATGACAGGGTCAGTGAGTCTGCCTGTCAGTCAGCGGGTGGTCCATAGCGAATAAACAGACTTGCGATTTGTATGCCTTGGTTATTGTGACGAAACGATCCTGGATCATTTCGAGAGTCTCTTCCACCGTGGCCTTGACCTTGTCCGGATGACTAGAAATAAATGTAAGCTCAAGATGCTTCCATTTTATAGCGCCCGATGGGTGAAAGGGACGCCATAAAGGTCGACAGTACAGTCCAGAGAGCGAAGTAACATGAACTCACTATAGCTTGCTCAACTTCTTGTAATGACTCTTGATCTCCTTCTCTGTTAAAGTGCGCGCGATTCCGAGAATCTCGAATGGATCATAAACCTCGGTGTCCGACTTGGCACCAGCGACCCTCCATGCAACGAATGCCAGCACACCCCAGCCGAGGATGACGAAAGACACTCTGAGAACGCTCGTCAGCGATGAATCGGGCAGTGAAGGATGACTGACTTCTTCCCGGGTAATTGGAACTTCGGGGGACGCGTGCGTAAACGCTGAGCAGTACACGGGCCACATTGACATAAAGGTTGTGCGTTGGATGATTTGGCACTAGTTGGTGACGGTAAAAGAGAGTATGTGAGGGGGATGAGGACTAGAGCAAGAAAGGTAATTAAAAAGTATGCTGCCATCGACCCCGACTCATCGTAAGAGTATTCGGCCATGGCTATGAAGCGTGGCCAAAGAGGCGGGAGGAAGTGAGAATGTGGCACAGCCACCAATATTGAGCGCGTTTGGTCATCAGACTACCTACATACGTGTCGCCAAGTGTCGCCGACGTTTCACCACGCTTCACCGTATTGAACGACTCGTAAATTCCTTCATAAGCTAAAAATGCTCTACTCGACGTCGCGGACATTAATGTTCACGAACAACGTGGCAAAGAGATATTGAGTTAATTGGCCATCATGAAGCGGCAAGTGGCGGAATCCTTCGATTGTATATTATGAGCTCCATCGCTGGGGAGGACCAGAGAAATAGCACTGACCGTGCTCTAGACTTGAGAGCGGAGCCATGTAGCTCGCCAGGGGCTCAGTGCTTGCTTTCTGTTTGGCTTGCTTGACGATAAACTCGACAAACACCAGTTCTTTCAGGCCTCCAATGCAATCGAATGGAAGACAAAACTCTTCTTGCCACATGGGATTGAATCCATTGTTCTTGACCGGCTCGGTCGAATACGAGAGCCGATGCAGCGCGCTCTCATTATTCGAATCCGCAGGGTCCACATGCTTGAATTTCTTGTCTTTGGGCAAGAATGGGTCTGTGGACCAGGCTGGGATATGGAGCACGACCTCGACATAGGGATCGATGATGGATTTCTCGTCACTCTCTTTGCCGCTGCTGTCCTTTGCTCGCGGTAGTTGCTGAGCAGAAATGATCTGGGCATGGTCAATTACTTCCAGGAATCCTTCCGCGCTGGGCACGGACCGTGACGTCAAAAAAGTGTTTTGTATGAATTTGGAGTTGCTTGAATTCCGGGTCCCGCAAAGCCGGTGGTTTGAGAACGTAACCTTGATGGCCACATCTCATGAACATGGCCTGATTGAGCCTGAATCCGAGGTCCATCGTCTGGATGTTGAGTGCAACCAATTGACATCCAGCTGCCCAGTACTGGACCGGCTCGTAGTTGGTAGAATCAATACGGGTCCCTTTGGGATAGATTCGGACAACATGTGTCTGCGTGTGTCGCACCAGGCTTTCCAGTTCTTGTTCGTCCTTCAGGAACTTGTTGATTTGGCTTTCAGACAGCGAGAATATCTGCTCTGGAGCATAGATCTCGGATTGTTTGATGCCCCGATACTTGACACCCACGGTGTACACCAATAAGGATGCCAGTGCCATCGACATCGGGACCTTCGGAAGCTTTGGCTTCTGGGGCTTCCCGGTGGCAGCGCTTTTCATTTTCTTCCACCTGGATTTGAGGTCGGATATACCAGACTTCAGATCACTCATCTCTGCGTTGATCCCAGCACCGATTTCTTCCATCACCAGCTGAGCTTCCGACTGCTCCTCCTCAGACTCGGAGTCGGACGAGGAGTCCTCGACAGGAAGATGCGCAGCTTTGGCAGCTGCCATCTCGGCAGCCTTTTGGTGTTCTTTGACTGACTCCAGCTGAGTCGCCAGGTACAGGTTCTTCGTCTGAAAGTGGATCAGACAAACGTCCACAAGCACGAGACTATGCTCACCTTCACCATGATCTTTCCTTTGAGATCGTCAGGACTAGGGAGGGCCTTGATTTCAATCTTCTCGTTAGGAGAAAGCTTGATCAAGGAAGTTCCAAACGCCTTTAGCATGATGTCGACGAGCATATCTTGCTGCTTGAGTCCACAGTGGATCTCGCAAGACAGCATAACCGGGTATGGCGAGGAAACAAACGCATATTTCGCGATTGCCTCACATATCTCTTGCACAGACACGGCAGATGTCAAGGTATTCCCGTGGTAGACAACTGGCGCAGTGGGCCCATCGTAGATATCAACTGCAATAGTTTCATGTGAACGACTTGTACTCCTCGAGTCTGCGGGACAACTCACGCTCCACACTGCGGCAGGCACATAAGAGCGCTCGGATATAGCCCTCGACTGTGCTGACGCCCATCAGCTGGTTGCCCACGAGATATGTGTTGTGAGATGTCGAAATGAAATATTCCGACAGCGGACGAGCCATGTCGTTGATTTCCGGCCGGGTGACTGCGTTGTCTTCAGAAATGAGGAAGTTCTCAAACTGATCCAAGCTCATCAGCCGAGCCGAATGGGGCATAGCCGAGGGAGAAGTAGGGGAAACATCTGGCGAAGTCGGTGGCTCTTCTGCGGGCGTCGAATATTTCTCGAAAACAGCCTCTAGTTCGCTTGCACTAAGCACAGACTGGACAGTCGGCAGTTAGTTCAAGTTCGAACAGAAACGCGGTGAGCCCAACCTTCTGTGTCTCTTTCATGAACTTCTCGAACCCGGCATGATCCAATTTCTTCTCACCCGCCATTCGCTTGAACAACGCCTCGATTTCAGGCCGACGCTTCAAAAGCTTCACGAACTGCTGGAACTGGACATAATTCAATTTATTTTGATGCGTAGTATCGACTTGCTAGAGTGCGACCATGAGCGTCGAGCGAGCCAGAAATGCCAAGATAGACGACGGACGTTGAACAGTTTCTCCAGTTCGCCTTTCGGATAATTGATGTTCAATCGCACCGCCATGGCCTTGATCTCGTTCAAATCGAGGGTCTTGTCGCCACTCTTGTCGGCTCCCTTCCAGTACTGTCTCTCCCAAACCGATCGTCGGAGCTCGCTGTTATCGACGCCCTTCATCAAACCCCTGCGAACGTCAAAGAGCCCACGGACAGCAGTCTGCCAAATCACGAGATCGCCGTTGGTGTCGGCCACGAGATGCAACGTTTTGAACGTGTTCTTGAGGACGTAGACGATCGTGATCCACTAAGACCATGTTAGTTGTAACATTCCCCAAGCATAAGACCCAACGTCGTCTCACACGGTCCCATTGGTCGCGAGGGTGACGGAATTGCATACAGTACGATTCGGCGTCGGGACCGGTCCTAATCTCCTTGATGCACTCGATGGGGACTGTAGGGGTCGGTGAGGAGCGAAGGGGACGAGATGGAGCATACCAAGCCCATTCTTGTTCGAAGGATACAGAATCAGGCCTTCATCTGGGTCTATGCGAAAGAGCAATCGTTTGCGCGACTTTTCCGATATTTTGGTGAGTAGGATTCCCCGCTGAAGGAAGTCGGGGACTGCGGAGGTAGTTGCCACATCTGGTGCAGCTGTTGGGGTGGTGGTAGCGGACATGAGGGGTGTGATTGCATACTGGCCCCACTAAGAATAGATACATATAATCATAAGAATAAAAGTCATCATTGGGATCATTTCATTTCATGAGTAACAAGACATGGACAGTGAACATGGTATGCAGAGATTATCCGGAGGACGGTAATGGTGCACAGATACAGTGCGTGTTGGATACAAGAGACAGAATGAAGGAGTGGGCAGCGTACTGGATTTACAAATTCTGGGCAGGCGGTGAGTTGTTGAAGTTGGAGCGCTGGCGATGCGATGCGCTGCGGGACTTGGAATTGGGATGGTGCTGGCGGAAGTAATGCTGTTGGTGGGGAGGCCGCTCGTGTCCCAGACTGAGATTCTTTTGCTTCAGTCGGCGTTCTTTACGCGTCTCCTTGCGATGCTGATTGGGGATATGGTCCTGCTGCTTTGGTGATGCGTTTGCGTTGGTAGGCGTGCGATCACCCGCTGCCCGTGTCGCCTTCGACTTAAGCGACTGCGTGAGATCCTTATCTTGCCAGAGCATGCTCAAAGGACTGCTCTTCATGACTTGGCCTAGCTCGGCCGAGCCACCAGTGTCAGAGCCCCATCCCCAACGGCTTAGATTCAAGTGTTTCCTGGCTTGCTCAGTGGGCGAGACGGGTGCGATCTCCTCAGAAGGATCCGAGTCGAGGAATGCCGTGTCAAGGACATCGTCCAGATCCATCGTTTGAGGATGCAGTTCAGGAGATGTCGTCAGCTCAGAGGATGACAGAATCTGGAAGGAGGGCTGAGAGATCGGCGGAAGTGAAAGCTGCCGAGGAAGCGAGGATCGAGGACTGGTCTGTATGAAATTCAGCATACAACAAGGGTTCGATCTGAGATGTCACACACCCGGCCGAAATGCGAGACTGATCTACCTCTCCGAGCACGAGGTCGCGGATGAGGAGAAGGAACTGCCGCATGAGCATCATCTATGATGGCAACCGGTGTATCGACAGGAATGAAGTGCCCTTCACGAGGACCGTTGCTGCGCGAGGAATTGCTGGGCGGTGCATCGTTCTCATCCGGCGCATCCCAATCGTCCAAGAAAACACGACTAGACAAGATGTCCGCAGGGCGAGTCGCATCACGTGTCACGATGACTCGACGACCGCGAGCAGCGGGACTCATTGTTGACAGAGGATTGATGGAGGACACACTGAACGGAAGGTTGAACAGACGCATAGCTTGTTCGTTTGGGAGATGGTCTTCCCCAACAAGTTCCTCGTCAGTGGTGTCCCCGCCTTCGTAGCCAACTTCCTCCTCTGTCGACATCGGCTCCTCGACCTCGCTGATTTGATTGAGAGAATTGATGGTCTGGACCAGCTCAGAAGCCATTTCGAAATGAACATCCAGAAACCCCCGGCCCTCGCCGAGACCATTGGAGAAGCTGACCTGACCGTCCCAGTCTTGGGTCAACTCGAAAGGAAGGTGTTCGAGCCCAATATCCAGGCCCTCGAGATCTGACTGATCTCCGTCGTCTGCCCTTTCATCTTCGTCGCCAGCTGAGGAATGACTATCGTCACCATCCGAGTCCGTCAGATTGGCGAAAAAGAGATCCGCGTCAAAACTCGATTCTTCGTCCTCCGGCTCCGACCAGCCTGTAGCAACACCGATGTAACCAGCACCGACACGCAGACCGCTGTCCATGTCTTCGTCGTCGTCGTCCCCTGCTTCGGTCTGCTGTTCTTCATCTTGTTCGTCCTCATCCTCGGTCGCATCGCTGTCCATGTCCATGTCCATGTCACTCCCACCGACACTCGGCTTGCGAGGGCGGATCACCCAACTGGGATTGCGCCGTTGAGGCTGGCCGTGTCCACGACCCCTCTGCGTCTCTTCAGCAACAATGAAGCTTTCCTCTTCAGCCTCTACGGAAGAGTCCGTATCAAATTCCGACGACGAATCAGCACTCGAGTCTGACAACGACGACAGTGCAGACGCAGAAACGAACGTCGGAAACTGGACAGATCGAGCATCGGTGTCGTTAACACCGAAGCGATATAGGGTGTCCACATCACTGAGCTCGGAGGAAGATTCGTCGCTCGATTCTACGCGACGTCGCTTTGCCGCGCTGGTCTTCTTCTTGCTTTTGCCTTTGATGACGGCCGATTTTTTCGATGCTGCGATCTTTCGCTTGCGTGCGGCTTGAGCCGAGTTGTAATACGAGATAGCGTCGGAAGAAGAGTTGATTCCAAGCTGGCGGGCTGCAGCCAAAGCTTTCGGAGGCCGGCCTCTTCGTTTGGGAACGATCTGGCTGTACGGAGAGAACGAAGGGTTCGATGGACGGGACAAGGCGTGGAGCGCCGCGCCGTTTGATGCAGAGGCCGATCGCGCCTTCTTGAGACTCTGGCTGAAGCTGCCACTGGGTTGTCGCTTGTCGAGCAAACTGGGAGGGATCGTAAGTCTGATTTTCAGGGATGGCAGCTTGGGAGCTGAGGATTTGGTAGTGTAGGAAGATGCGCTCGAGATAATCGGAAGCCCGGTACTGGAGCTGGCAACGGCGTTGGTGTTGGTGCTGATGGCAGAAGGTACGGAGTGATGAGCGTGTTGCCTGTGGGCACATGTGCAGGTTCCAGAGCACAGACATGGGTCCATGTCGCTGACCTCGTCCAGCATCGTCGAGCTTACGCCTGCGACGTTTACGGTATTGGGGTAAGAAGACGGCATTGCGGGAGTCTGTTGTTTTGGATGCGCTACGAAGAAGACATTTAGTTCAGAACTCGTGTGATCAAGAAGGATGTGAAACGAGGAGAAACGGGCACAATCTCAGCCGAAGGGTCATATGGTGCATATGGGACCCTCAGATGAGCCAACCGAGAGAACGGCGTGGCTAGAACGAGAGGGAAATCGATGAAGATTCGACACGCAAAACGAAACGATCGCGTGTGACATTTTTTTCGAAATACCGAGGTGAAAGCACTCACGACTGTGAATATATTGGGACATCTGAAACCGCAATTGAGCATGAGGCGTTGGATGAAAGCTCCAGGTTGAGTTTTAGAGGGGGTTTGCGGCACTGGGGCCACGAGATGGTGGACGTATCTTCGAAAGACGACTAATTCGCAATCAAATTTTGATTCCATGCCCGGCACCGCTGTCATCAAATTGATCAATCTGTTTTCATCTCAAGCTGCCGTGGGCAAATGCATACGCGACTTACCAAGTGACCTCGTCTTTCCTGGGTTTCATGGAGACCAATCAGCCCATAACGATCCGGGATCGGTAGTCGTTTCTGGTGCGTCGGTCGTGGAGATGCATAACATGACGTGCTCTGAGTAAGGCTGCAAGGGAGAGCACGATGCCCTCACCAAAGACAGGCTTGATATCCCATCCGCCCCTCTCTTTAGTATTCTTGCAACTTCTAACGTGTCTCGTGCCACCCTCTCTGTTTCCCCATGATTTCTCCGCGCTGGGCTGCATTTGAACGGAGCGCTCGGGCCTTGCTTGGACACTTGTATCACGAGGCCAGCCAGAATCTCCGCTTCTCATCACGGACAGGCGCCTGTCCTCACTATTTAAGTCCAGTACTGGTCTTGCGGTCCACAGAAGCTACCACGATGACCTCCTCGAGTCCTCTCAGCGGCACAAATTTCAACCCATTCGAGACGCACCCTTTCACATCATACACCTCAAACACTTCACTGGGCCATGCATCGACCTCGCAGAAACAACGCCACGATTCGTCTACCAGGCTGGCGACGCACTCTTCTTCGCCGACGAAGCCTGTCTTCACTGCTGCATATCGCCTGGAAGCATCGCCACCCGAGTTGAGCGAGGTCCTCAAGAAGAAGAGACCTCAAGAATGGAATCTCTGAGCGCAAGGGTGCGTGACTTTTCTTGGTCCACCTCTTGAACTAATTGCAGCTCCAGGCTTCAACCAATACCAAGATCATTATGCTACTTATATACCCTGTACTGTTCGGCACCCAAGTCCTTATCGATAGTTATCTCAAAGTTCCGGGCTCGAAAATTCCATCTGCCATGTCTGGCGACGTGCGAGAAGCCGTGCCCAGTTATCGACATAGGGAGTGGCAGTGCATCAGATCATGATGCTGATGCTACCCCTATACCTCAGCCTGCTCGACTGTTTGAGTGCGAGTTTACATAACTAATCTACCAATCGGGCCGAGTACTTTTTACAGCTTACGGGCACGTATTCCACACTCACACACGGCCACTTTCGGATGTTCGGGAGGCAAATGCCATCGACTCTATAAGTAAACTCAATGCGCAAAGACCTTCCGCAGCGATATTCCCACTTTCTGAGCAAATGTCTGCTATCACGTCATCCGCGCCCTCGCCCGGCTGCACGGCCCCTGCGCCCTCAATGCATTCCAACGCCGATCTAGTTCCCGAGCTCCCGCCTCCCACTCCACCTCATCCGCCGTCAGCCAGTCTGATCCAAAGACCGCGCGAGCGTCTACCCGTCAATCTTATCTTGGAGAATTCGGGCAGTGTCGCGCGCGACCATCTCGCGTCTGAACGAACATTTTTGGCGTATGTTCGAACGAGTTTGGCGATTGCGTCGACTGGAGTCGGTGAGTGCACTGTGTCTACGCTGCAATTGCGTGTTGACGAGGGCTAGCACTTGTGCAGCTTTTTACCATATCCAACTCGATGGGCTCTGGCACTCTGGGCGCCGCATTCATTCCCACAGCACGCCGCATACAGGAGTGGGCACAACCTCTAGGTGCAACTATGGTCTGTTTCGGATTGTTGGTGCTTGCAGTCGGTGAGTGTGGAATTCGAGGCTCCACTACAAACAAGATAGTGACTCGTTCAGGGACCACTCGCTATTTTCACATTCAAACCGCCCTGGTACAAGGCAGATATCCAGTAGCACGCTTCACTGTGGGCTCCATCACATTCATCCTCGGCACGATCGTGACCATCGTGTTTGCAATTATACTATCAGCACGACGCTAAGACGGCTCACGTATCCTTCCTACGTGGAACTTGTACCAGCAAAAACCTCCTTCAGCCCAGCCACGACGGTTTCGATGTCCCCGCGACTCGGGTCGACCACAGTTACGCCCATGTGTCTAGCACTGGATCAGCGAGAGTTCCCGAGAAATACCGGATGGCTGTACCCGATACGGAAATACTTGTCTTTATTAGCAGTATGCAAACCACCAGCCACAATGATATTCTTTGCGCCCAGTTTAGGGAGCACGTCTGCAGCAGTCTTTCCTTCAGGGTAGTAAAGCTGTTTCGAGTCAGTTTAGGACACGAATGATCACCGAAAAAGCACTGACTGCAGTCATGCCGTTTGCTCCAAAGGCAGGATCCGAAGGAACCTGCTTGAGCCCCAGACTAGCGGCAGCGTCTTTGATTTTGTTGCTCGCAGCACGATGCAGAGCGAAACGTTCTTCCAGGGACGGGGTTTGCTTTGTGATCTGGGAAAGGGACGCGTGGTATGCGTAGATCAAGTTGACAGGAGGAGTAGCGAAGTACGCCGGGCTACCACTCTCGTACGCTTTCATGATGGGCAACCATCTGGCGAATAGATCAGCTATTCTGCAATACACGCACGCAGAAACACTCGCTTTTTCCAGCTCGCGTAGTACGAACTTGGCGGAACGCTGCGCGATTCAAATGCCTGACGGCGGTCAAAATCGAGGGTGCATGAGAAAGAGATGAAGTACCTTCATAGCCTTCGGGCTGGCAACGAGAATACTCAGGCCGGGCGGGACGCCGAGACCCTTCTGACTGGCGGTGAGGACGACATCGAGTCCCCATGCGTCAAACTTGATTTCTTCGCTGGCAACGGAACAAACCCCATCCATGATGACCTAAACGACGAGAATAAACAGCAGTCCAAACGATCGGCCCACGCGCTTACAAGTGTATCTGGGGAAACGCGTTGGACAGTAGCGGCGACAGCTTTGGCGTCAGACAGAACAGCTCGAAAGTGTATCGGCACTTGCATTGCGAGGAAAACCGATTGAAACTCACCGGTAGACGTGTCCACATGCGTGAAGGTGACGATCTTATATTTCTTCTCCGATAATGCAGCCGCGATGGCCTCCTGCGACACGGCGGCACCAATGACCGCTTTCAGTTGGTCCACTTTGGCTCCGTACGTCTCCAGGCATTCGGTGAAGCTATCGCCAAAGTAGCCGCTGTGTAAGACCAGGGCGTTCTCTCCGGGTTGTACTAGGTTTGCCGCAACCTACCCGCATCGACGACGTGTGAGATGGATGTGGCGAGAGACGGAAATCATGGCGCACTTGGTCCCAACCCAAAGTCCCACTGCCCGAGATCAAGAACGGCTGGCCTACGGTGGTCTGCAAGACTTCCCTTGGAGATGCGCATACGTTATCAGCGGGAGTCTCCTGCTTTGGCAAGATATAGCGCACCTAGTCATCCTGATGCAATCTCCGAAGACTGGAACGAAATCGGGGGAAACGTGGCTCATAGAAGGATGAGCATTGGCGTAGAGAACCTAGAAGAGATCTTGTTGAACAGCGAGCGCGGTGTCCAAGCAACGGGACACACCTCATCAGCGACCTCGATCGGGCTGGACGAAAACGCGTCAATTATCGAGCCATAGTTCTCGCTCGGAGTGGGATTACGCACCCTGGGATGACGAGGAGCCTTTTCGAGTTCAGGATCTCGGATTATGCAGAACAGACGACGAGGGCTTACTTGTGCGGGGCCTAATGTTTCCGATTGATTTAGTAGAGATTGCAAACGGACACTGTCCACAAATAAGGTGGCGTACTTGTTTGAAGGTGGTGCTCATTGTTCTATGCACGAGGTAAGGGATTGAAAGACACCGAGATCGGGAAGAGGGGAAGAGCCTACTCGCACACGCGATCATAGCCTATGTAGTGAGCTATTCCGGAGGTAATTTATCCCAGACTTCTTCTCAAGGGCTCCCGCGCCGCGGAATCACGGACCTCCGCCGGACCGTCAACGACAGGAAACCAGTTGTCCCTCGGACGGATGCGGCGTTACAAAGAGGCATACATTTATTCATTCCGCTTGCATAATACATACATGACTGACTAACATACAAGGTTGGAATCCCGCTCTCTGGACAGCCTAGCTGAAGGCGAGTGCAGACCATGTCACCACAGCACCGATGGTCACAGCGGTCGCAGTCCGGGCAAACACCTCGGTCACGCGGTGCACGCGCTTACGGGGTACATCGCCGGCATCATCATCAAAATCCCGCTTCCGTTTTAGGCCAGCTTCCAGCTGCTCCTGTGCATCCCGTATTTGCCGAACTTCTTCCGCCAGCTCTGTGCGTGTTTCCTCGCGAAGCTTGGCTAGTTCCGCAGAAAGAGCTGGATCAAGTCAGATCAAGCAGATTGAGCAGATAATGTCCTCACCGGCAGCCCGTCTCTCGGCAACTTCGACTTTCTCCGTCCAGGCAGCTTCAGCGCGTCTGAAATCCAACGCTTGTTCCTCCACCTGGAGCTGGAGACTGTCGTTCAACTCTTGGACCAGGCGGCAGGTCTCTTCCTGGACATCCACTCTCTCTGCAAGAGCGTTGTATAGATCTTCGTTCTCGGCCGTTCGCTCCTCCAGTTTCGAGAACCGGCCAATTGAAGCTTTCACATTCTCACTGAATCGCTCCTTGAACTTGCGTCGATACGCTTGCAGTTGAGAAACTTCCTCCTAGAGCAGGCAACATGTTAGCAGACCATGTCCGACGAGCGGAAAGCCGTACTTTGGTCGCGGCCAACGATTCTTGCAATTGATTGATTTGGATGTTCTCAGAGCGGGCCTCGGGCTCGCAATCGATAATCTCGATGATACCCTCTCTATCGTCTGCTCGTGCATCAGCGCTCTGATCCCTGCCGCACATTTCTTCAGCAAAGGAAATTTGCCCAAAAGCAGCGGGAGAAGATGATCGAGAGTGCGGCCACGCTCCAACGACAAGCGGTTCACCGACGACAACGATATCTTGGCCTTCTGGAGCAGCTTCAGGCTCTGGGGAGCTCGAAAGATCCATAGGAGACGCGTAACGGCTCTCCGCCCCAGCTTCCTCATCCTCCGAAGAGTTGTTGTGATATGAATGGTCATCAACAGAATTGTCCAATACAACGGGGTCCTGACCCTCAATAGCTGGCGACTGGGGACTTGTGAATGGAGAGCAATGGGAAAAGGAACCGAGGAACTGCTTTAACATGCTTGGTCGACTGACAGGCCAAGCAGTGCTAAAGTCCCACGATGAACGACGCCAGGGAGGATGACCAGCACTCGAAGGAGTCGATGGCTTGATCTCGATCTCTTCGACATCCGAATCCCGAGAATCAGAGACGGGAGAATCGCGTCCGTCAGACGAAGAGGAGTCATCCTCGGAAAGAATTGATGCATATAGGCCAAAGCGACCAGAAGGGGGCCCCAAAGATAGTTTATGTTGCCCCGCTCCTGGTTCAGGCACGAAGAGCGGCTTCAGCTGAGGCTGTCCGTAGAGCAGGTCGACATGAGCGACGATGGGTTGGACGAGTCCTTTATCTGAGCTGACTGGTTTACCAAACGTTATCGCATCACCGGCAGAGAGCACAGCAGGTGTCTCCGGGGCCAGTGCTTTCAGGACTGTATCATTGGCCTTGCGGATATGCGTGCCATGGTGAGAATGAGTCTATCAATGGGTGAGCTTGACGCCAACAGAAAAAAGGGCCACTTGGCGAACATCGATGAGATAACACTGCCGAGGGTGCTAAATTAGCACTGCCACCAGGAAGGGAGACGATGACATACAAGGCCAGTGTCGCTGAAGACAATCTTCGCATGATGCCGGCTGACAACAGGGCAGTTGAAGGAAGCCCGACCGGACTCGGTCTTGCTCTTGTCAGAATCGGAGCCTGGTCGGCGTCCTACATGCACGAGCTGCTGATCGGATTTGTGAAAGACGAGGGTGTGCCCTTCTTCGGCACCGTTGGACTCGACCCTCAGTTCGATCCCTTATCCGAGACTGTCAGTCGAGCTTGTCTTTAGAAGGATTGGGAGCATCTTCACCGATGATAGTGCGCTGAGGTGGAGTGCTGAAAATGGAGTGGTTCGGTGGAGCCAGATTAGCGCGTCGGGTACCCAGATACTGGATGGAATCATCCTCAGACATGCTGCTTGGACAAGTGAGATTGCGGATTCCGAGGGAGGTGAGGGTCAGGACTGAGGGGGACTGGCCGGGGTGCGGCGAATGTCACGCTGTGCCATCATGATCAGAGTCACTCGCGGCACCGGATGCAGTGAGCAGATACGGTACAATAAGATTAGATAAGATGGGATGTGTGATCAGTAATATTGATTCACCAAGCGTTATGCTGCATGTGCATGTAGGTATCAGCCTCAACTCATTGCCCCGCGTCTCAGATCCATAATCATCGAGCCGTATCATTGACAGTCTGAACGCCAGCGACAACCTTCTGCATCTCTGACCACTCAACCTCGCCACGAGACAGGGACATGTCCCCAATATCATAGACGTAGAGTTTCCCGTCACTCCCACCCAACGCGGCGTGACGCCCATCCTTGTTCCATTGCAATTTGTTGATGGCACGGCCGGTGCCGACGCTTGTTGATACAACAGGAACCTGGCAGAGCAACTATGAGCAGAGAGAAAATAGAAACATTCCTTCGGCGCACCTCGGTGTCGACATTCAGATTCCATAAATCGAATTTTCCCGATCCATCGACGGAGCCAAACAAGGCAGGGTGTTGGGGATGCCACTTCACATCGTACACATAATCGTCGGCTTCGTCAAACGAATACAGAGGTGAGATGGGATGGGGCGTCGTCGACGGCTTGGACAGCGATTTTGCACGCCACAACTTGACTGTCCAATCCACGGAACAAGACAAAAACAGGTCAGAAAAGTCGACTGGGCCAGCTAGTGGGTGGAAATGTAACCCCATGACTGGTCCAGAGTGACCTTTGTAGACATCGTACTGATTCAACCCTGCTTTGGACCCAGCGCGATCATATCTGTTTGCCTGATAGACATTCCCTTCCTCTGTCCCCACCCAAAACGTGGTCGTTTCGTTGTTGGGAAAGTCAAGGGCTGTGATGGCAACTTCGCCGGTCTTGTTGTGTCCAGCATGCACAAGTTCCAGCGTTTCTTGCGGCTGGGCCAGCATGTCGACTAGCCAGCTGCACACAGTCCCGTCGGTGCTGCTGGTGATCAAATTATGCGCATTCTGGGTGCCGACCATTTGTATAGCATAAACTGGATGGGTATGTCCTGCAGCAGACAGCGGGGTTTTAAGCACGGGAAGATGCTTTGAGCGATTGTCCCAGAGCAGAATCTGCCCAGAATAGGTTCCTCCGAAAATAAGGTTGGAGTGGAAAGGCGAGAAGAGAACAGACAAGACATCCGACTGCAGACCATGAGAGCGCTGCCAACATAAACACGCAGACTCCTCACCGGCGAATGGAACACGAACTCGGGTCGCTCCACAGAATGTGTATTCCACACGGCAACGATACCCGCTGGTTCGTTTAAAGCTGCATGGTTTTTGTTGTACGAGGCCACGGTGAGCTCGGGGAACTGGCAAGGTGTCAACAGTCGATAGAGACACAGTAGAGACCACTGCAGACCTTGGGAGACCAGTCCACATCCGTGATTGAACGGTTCTTTCCGTACCGCTCGCTCCAGAATTCGCATACTTTCTTCACTCGTCTTCCTTCCGAGTCATCCCTGCATGCGCGTCAGTGACCTGATGAGACAAGAGAGAAACGATCTTACCCTCCTGTTTCGGCACCCTGGGTATAGTCACTCATATAGTTATAACGGTCATTCAAAACTCGATGGAAGATTTTGGTCGAATCGTCAATGAAGTCAATGAACTTGGGATCCGACAAGAACGTCTCTCTTTCCTCTTCGGTAAGCTCTAATCAAGTGCCTTGAGGACACTTCCCAGTTTGGATGATTTCGAAACACGCACCGCGCACTTCCTGCTCGATCTCTAGATCTAATTTGGCCGATTCCTCCTCAAGCGCCTTCTCGTGCGCTATCCGTTCGGCCTCTTGCACCTGTTTGTCCAGCAACTGCTGCCTTATCTTGTCCTCGAGGACCTCTGGGGCCTCCGTTTCAATCTCTACCGTTTGCGTGGATTTCTCGTACACGATTGTCCGTATCTGTGCATCAAAGTCAAGACCGATGCATAGAGGACATGTCAAAGGATGCCGCACCTTTTGAGGCAGCTCGAAAAGATCTTGCTGAATATCGATGATCCGTGGCATAATCTCACTAGATGTCGATGAGTGTCGTTCACTCCATTTTGAAATCGGTGGCACCGTTCGATGACATGGTCCGTCCCAGATGATACTGCATGAGATGCGCGAGGACTAGAGTGCTCTGGTTGGAAGCTGCTGGTCTGGCTGTCTCTTCCCGAGCTTGCAAACGCTGGTATTGAAGGGCTGCCTGTGCGCGCCGGTGTTCCACTCCCACTTGCTGGACCCAAGATCTCCTCCAACAGCAAGTTCATATTAGCTTTATCCAGCTCTCTGCTCGCCACCGCTGGAGGTGTCTCGGAAGCCTAGCTAACAAGATTCGCTAGCCTGAAAGACAGTTTGTGCTGCTGACTGACGCTTGACACTCGTGACTGAGTGCGCTGCTGTCGCGCCGCGCGCATGGCCTCCAGCTTAGCCTTCTTGGCCTCGATTTGTGCCCGACGCTGCTCCGACGACATTGTGATAGGGTGAAATCAACAGTAGTGGAATCCCTGGCAGGTTATGGTGGTGGTGGACACAGGATGATAGAATGATGGGAAGGAACGAACACGTGATGACGACGCGTCTTGCTGCACTTTCATGCATCTGTCATTTGAGTCTCTCTTGTCCGAATTGATCGACTGCATCGCCGGTTCTGGTCACTTAGGAGTCGTCTAGAAGATACATGCACGACAATCGCATGAAATACGGCTGGCTGCAAAGGCATAAAAGTATGTGGGAGTTTGGTCTCAATCTTGCTTAGATAAGGAGTTCTATCACCATTCGGGTCATCGCATAACTATGAAATCCACGACAACGAGCATTGCGGAACGGAAACGTATCGGTCAAGTGCGTCATCCGTCCCAAGCTTTACCGTCTTGCTGATGTACTTTCTAGCATTTTGTGGTAGGCTTCCATGGAGAAGCCCCCTCAAAAGACATCAGGACACTTATCCAAGAGTTCTTTGTGGGCAGTGTGATTCTCATGAAACGCAACATCGTCGGTATGTTCATCTATGTCTGTCCATAGGCTTTTCCAGACATCCTTCCCAGACGCAGAGCAAACACGCTCCCTCGTCCAACAACTGCAACAGCTTGCGCATGACGCAGGCCATGACCAACCGCTCTTAATTGGTATCGATCAAGAGAACGGACTGGTGTCTGCATTTGGCAGGCCAGGAGCAGGCACGCAATTGTAAGCCCACGTTATCTGTTCCTTGGAACATCCTGAGTTTGCGGGTGTAGTCCGGGTGCGATGGCCCTCTCGGCGACAGGGTCGACAGAGCTTGCGGAAAACGTGTCATTTGCCATTGCACGAGAGCTCAAGCTCGTAGGAATCAATTGGGCCTACAGCCCTGTGGCCGACGTGAACTCTGATCCTCGCAATCCGGTTATTGGTATGATCTCGTCATTCAGACGAAAGGATGTGTACTGATCAGCCTCGCAAGGAGTGCGCTCGTTTGGCGATGGTCCTTTGATCAATCGAGGGAACACTGCAATCAGGCTGACGCCCTCACAGATCCGTCGCAAGTTGCTGCATTCACGGTTGCCGTAGCTCGAGGTCTTACGCGAGGTGGCATTGCTGCTTGTGCAAAGCATTTTCCCGGTCATGGTGATACATCAGTCGACTCGCATCTCGCCCTTCCTCAGATCAACAAGCCGAGAAGCGCTCTGGACTCGTACGAGCTTCCACCGTTCAAAGCCCTCATCTCTGGAGGAATCCCGAGCATCATGACTGCTCATATTCTTCTCCCCCTGGTCGCCCATGATCCCGCCTCCTTATCCAAGACTTTCACTACGGATATTCTGCGGACAGAACTTGGCCATTCGGGGGTTGTGGTCACAGATTGCCTGGAGATGGAGGCGATATCTAATCAGTCTCAAGGAGCCTGTGGTGTGGAGAAAGGCGCAGTCAGTGCGCTTCAGGCCGGTGCAGATATTGTTATGATCTGCCATACGATGGCCTGGCAGATTGGGGCACTGGAGGCCACTTACGAGGCCGTCATATCGGGACAGTTAACGCTCGACGAGACCCGCGTTGCTGCGCTGAAGAATGAATTTTCAGGCACCTGGGACAATGTCCTCTTCACGGACCCGGAGTTCTCCTCCAAGTGGGCATCGGTCAAGAAGGAAAGCGCAGAGCTGAGCCGCAGGAGCTACTTTCTGTCCACTGCCCTGGTGAACGGGTCCGGGTTTCGGCCGCTTGAAGTTGGCCAACCGGTCACACTTTTCACGCCGCCAATGGACAGTCTCAACAAAGCGGTTGATGACGCTGACGACATGCTTCGTACGCAAGATGGAAAAGTCAGAAATACGGCTGGGCCTTCATTCCTGTCTCTCGCCCAGTCGATCGAAAAACGTGCACCCTGCGATCACATCGTCTACGGAGAGAATAACCGCTGCACCGTTCCTACCGGAAGCACTGCGGTCATCTTCGTGCTGAGGAATGCGGACCGATATCCGTGGCAACTCGACGTTTTAGACCGGCTGGCAGCCTGCCATCCGTTGCCTTTCATTGTATTGGGCAGCTGTGCACCTTACGAGGCTCGCTTGATGTCTCATCCCTACATCGCCTCGTTCGAATACACTCCGGATGCTTTGGAAGCTGCCATGCAAGTCGTATTCGGAGAAAAGCATCCCCAGGGAACCGTACCAGTAGCCTACTAATGTGAAAATGTCCCGGCATATCAATTGCCCCATACAGATTCAGGATCCACTTCTCTCGGGCCTTGAACTTGCGAGTCATTCGAAGGCATAGTAGGACGCAGACCGGGGTGGTCATCTCCGGCGAGCGCAACCCGACGCGAGTCTTGTCGATCATACAGATATGCCCGGACGTAGGAAGCGACCAAAGCCAGCGGAAGAAGTGCGGTGAAAATGAGAACGGTAATCTGTGCCGATGCTCAATCGGAGGTTCAGGGAAATGTCGTAAGAAATCTCACATAGACAAGCTGAGGCTTAGGCCGCAGCGACCAGATGCTGACACAGATCCATGTCGCGGCAACACACCATACGATATCTCTGCGCAAGAATACGACCACCAAGCTTACAATGTTAGTCCCGAGCACGACTCCGAAAGCTGGCCATTGATGGTCATTGTAGTTGGCGGGCGTGCCGTCGTAAAGCGGAATGTAGGTCAGTCCCAGTGCGATGCTAGACTGCGTGAGCGAATAGCTTCTTTGGAAGTAGAGCTTGACACACAATAGATTGAGCGGAAGCATGAGTGCAAATTGCACCACAAAAAAGAAGCGCAAGGGCGCGTGAATGAGAGCCATATCGAAGGGTCGTTGCGTCGTCGGGGCATGGTAGGTGAGCAGCGCGATATTAGAATACAGGAGCAAGATAAGCAGAATGCCCTGAAACACAGTCGCGAGAATGAACCACTCAAACACCTGCTTGAGGATCAGAGACCGAAGAGGGAGGGAAAGAAAACGTCAGGTACCCAAGCGATGGCCCACAATGCCATAACCCAATTAGCAAAAACCAGGGAAAGCCCAACTCCTTTCGTTAAAGTCCTCTGGAACCGACAGTGGTGAGAATCTTCACCGTAAGAGCGAGCAAGGTATTACCTTGGTTTCCGGCTTCCTCGCGAGCACAAGAAGAACACAGTATCCGATTTGACCTATGTACATCGCGGCGATATACACCGAAATCACGGATGGTCGGGGGGAGACCGGGGTGGGGTACAATCTCGATATTTTTTGGATCGAGGGGTTCATCACGAAGGCACAGACGACGACCGACGCAATGTTGATCAGCAGTGACAGTGGTGTGAGTACCTCCGGGTCGAGTTAATGAGACGATAATGATAATTGTGGATAGATAATGCACCTGCAATCTACAAACGAGCTCAGAGTCAAGAACGGGAAGAATATGCAGTGTACAAACCGAACAAGGGCAAGATAGTCGCGCACTGCGGGGTGTGAGGTGTCTAATGGGAGGGAATCCATGGCTCGTCGTGGGGGTAGAAGGAAAGGGGTTGGAGGGCGGCGCGTCCGCAAGTTATACTCATCATAGTGCTAATGGCTTGACGTCACCGGCGAAGTTGGGTTGATGGTCACATACGCGTGCAGCGCGTCACATCCGTCCCTGTGCTCGCATCAAAGGTACGGTAGACTTCAATGTCCCTCATTCAACCTACTGGCCGCAAAGGACCAAGATTCGGCAAAGGAGGAGGCAGAAGGAATAACAACAATCAAATCTACGCTTGCGCTCTTCCCGTCGCTCTAAACAGTCCCCGATCTGACTCATTCTCGCGATCTCTCCTCGGCCTTGTGGGTCTCCGACTTACCACTCTCGAGACTCCGCTATGTCGTGGGGTCTTCGATGAGGCAACGCGCTCAGTCTGGGTTTTGGAGAAGGAATACACCATGCTGCTGTGGAGACGAGGATTCTTTGGCAAGGGAGACTTGTCACGGAGTGAACCAAGTTGGCTTTCTCGCCAGGTCAACAACAGACGTACTGGAAATCGTACGGGCGTCATTATCATCTGCCGCAAATTCCGTGAACATGCTATTCTAGGTTTGACTGCCGAGGAAGTCACTGCAAAACGAAGGGCAGAGCGAAAGCAGTTCAAGATTGACCGCGCTCGGGCTATCGCGCAAGTTGCCGCCGAAGCGGAGGAGATTTTCAAGACAGAAGGTCGGGTAGTCGTACCGACTCTTTCGGGGCCCTCTATTCCTTCCGGTGCGACCTGGAAACCAGCCAGCATGTCGACAGAGTCACCAGAGCTTGTGCCTCCTCCTGTTGAGGATAGCCCAGCTGCGAAAGAGGAAGAAGCAGAAGAAGAACCGTTGGAAGATCTGGAGCATCTCCAGCTGACTCTACCTGAAGCCTTCTTTCTGATGTGGAATTTCGATTGTCTTGCTATTGAAGACCCCAATTCAGTGCGGGTGTTTCTCCGTGTGCTTTTGGATCCTAAAGTTTTGCTAGCATGAACAAATGTCCATACATCAGGTTTGGACAGCCTTTCAAGAGGCGAATTTGATGCCTCTAATATTGACAGCGCCCCGCCCGCCAGTGGATCTTCAATTCGATAATCCATTCCTGATAAACTACATCGTGTATCACCATTACCGATCTCTGGGTTGGGTCGTTCGGGGTGGTATCAAGTTCTGTGTGGACTATATGCTTTATAAGCGCGGTCCAGTCTTCAATCATGCCGAGTCTGTCGACAATCTCCTGCATGCTCGTTTCCTCCTGACATCTGCGTAGATTCTCCGTCGTCGTTTGCCCTGTGTACGAGGACCCTACGGACCGCGACGCCTCAGTCGTAGATCTGCACCACTCAACACCCTTTTCCTGGTCTTGGCTCGGCACGATCAATCGCGTGAACACTCAAGTGTTCAAGGTGCGTCATCCGCACAGAGAGACAACGAGATAAAAATGTCGCCCAGACCCTCATACTTGCATATGTCACAATCCCAGCTCGTTCTCGCGTTTCCCCGGAATCGCTCAACTCTCCGGCTTGTTTGCAATATTACTCGGTCCGCGAAGTGATCGTCCGCCGATTCATTCCTGCGCGAATGCGAGATTAAATGGTATTGTTGGTTCATAACTATGATACATCGCGCAGTCCGTAGAATAGATTGGAGAGAGAAGGACGTCGGCGAGAGAAACAGAGCGGACCATTGGATCATATTGCACCTTTGATTCCGACTTTGCGGTACTTTGTTTCGTAGACCTGGCTTAACTGGGCACCGGCCAGCCGGCAATCCAGCGTCTTCTGGGAGTCGGGACTTGTCTGATCAGTGAAGCATGCAGCAGAGTGTTCGACCAAAAATTCGCGCGCTTGGTCAATGCCATCGAATGCCAACTCTTGCTGAATGAAAACAAGAGAGATTGTGCGATAGCTGTCGATAAGTGGCTGAACGACGCGTCAACGGAAAAAGGCATTACAACGCACGCTTTGGTAATCACAAGCAGGGCCTTGACCCTCTCACGGGCAACAAAATGGTCCATGATATAGGCTCCCATGTTTGGCACAGTGGAATACAACTGAAAGAGAGCATGATAGTTGCCTGTAGCAAGAGCCCGCTGCACCTTGAGAGCGTGCACCACCGCGAGGTCTGTTTTCTGTTTCGGGGTTAGTTGACCTACAAAAAAATTCAACTCTGGACAAAAATTAGCGCGATGTGGAGCCTCATGTCAGAGCGACTGACCGCTCCTGTTACGGCCGTGGAGAAGCATGAGTATCCGATATGCGGCAAACTCATCCACTCGTCCAGGGAGGCCCAGTTCATACAATGTCTTCAAGGTCGCCTGGCACTGATTGTACTCGACCATGTCACCCTGTAACACCACGATCAAGGACAGAACACTCCTCAGATCGCACAGCCTACATGTTCTAGTGCAATTCGGCCATGTATTTCATAGACCTGCACTGTGAACTCATTCTTAATTCGCTGAACCTGGAGTTTACTTCAGCCCAGGTCAGAACGCGAACAGAGAGAACAAACGGACGGTGAGGTCTTGACGCAGGCTCTTGAATTGACTGCACGTCCAATTGTATGGTGGTCTAGGCTCTTGGCGGAATCGGGTCTTCAACTCCTCCAGTGTTTCTCTCAGTATGTGATACGGACGGATTTGTTCAGGTTTTGGTTCCTAGAACGAAATCAGCACACTCTTATCAATGCCCCTCTTGAGATGAGTCCTAAGCTACGCACAGTCGTCAATCGCAGATAGTCCTTGAACTTCTCGGTTGAAGTTCCCACGATGGTATGCCGATCCCAGTCCATCACATTCTGTGCACATCGCCTCAGAGGGATTGCACAGATCCAGTGACACTGCACATACGGGATTTGCATCCTGATCCATCGGCGACTCGCTTCTTGGATGGGAGAACAAATGCGAGTTATTCTGATTCGCCCTGAGACTCGACCCTGCGTTACGTCCCTTCTCTCGCTCAATATCATGCTCTCGTTGGAACCTTTGAGCTCTCTTGTCGAGCGCAGCGCGGTCATCCGGATCTAGTAGAGGGGTGTTGTTCTTCTGCGCTTTCTTGGCCTTTTTCGATATTGGAGTAATATCTTGACTGGCAGATCCGTCATTGGTGATGGTCGCGCACACGAGTGGAAGTCTCACAGTTTGCGTTTGAGATTTATCTGGGGTGGTGGCTTGGGTTGCAAGGCTTTGAGCTGTACAGCTTCCCAGTCCGTCGTCCAGAGTTCATGGGCCGCGAAGGAGTCTGCGATGACCTGTCGTAATTCAGCTTGCGCCTCCGATCTGTTGGTGTCCGTCATTTGTCCCAAACATTTCGCCACCCATGTCCTGCAGAGGGTGAGAAAATGGCGCCGTCCGAGAATGGCGAGTTACTTGAGTTGCGGGGGCCAGGAATCTGCAGACATGTTGGAAGTCGAAGTGAAGCAAGGTGACAATACAAAACAACAAATGATGAGAATACCCGAGCAATCTACTGTTCTATTGAAGATAACTACACCTACAAGCCTCTTCCCTACATATCTTCTATGATTTCTCGTGAACGTGAATCATTCAGAGCTATGACCGGGCGGGCCCGTGAAAGGTATGGCTCATGCATGAAGCACGCGAAGCGTCCAGTAAAAGCTATCATTATTTCACAGGCTTTATGGATAGGTCGCAAGAACAGGCTCTTGACTTCTAATGAGTCTTGTCTACAGGAGGGTCGTATACTAGAAAAAATATCAGAGTAAGACCTTTCCAGACCGAGAGAAGACATACAGATTTTCCTGTTCTTGATGGGGGTCCACTTGAAGCGCTTGACGTAGAGACTGATCAAGGTCAACGCAGAGAAGAGGATGACAGCCTTGATGCCGTTCTTTTTCCGCTCGTCATGTTCAGGCTCAGCAGCCCAGTTCAAGAATGTCACGACATCCTTCGCCATTTGGGACGTGGTTGCCGGTGTGCCTGCGGGATGTTGAGAGAGAGTGTGTGTTTGGATGAGAGTTTGCTCGTACCGTCCTCGTACTCGACCAATCCATCAAACAGAACACGGGCCATACCGATAGCACCTCCGGGGAAGAACGGGTTGTAGTTCATGCCCTCACGGATTTCGACGCCAGCGGGTGCGTCGATGTATCCGGTCAGTAGAGCGAAGATGTAGTCCTAGTTATAGCTGTTAGGGAGGAGCCAGATGAAAGAAAAGCCCAACACACAGCACCACCGTGACGGGCCTTGACGATCAAGCTCAAATCCGGAGGGAGGGCACCAGCGTTGCCGGCTCTTGCGGCTTCCTCGTTGGCATAAGGTGGAGGCATATAGTCGGCAAGCTTTCCAGGACGTTGGAACATTTCGCCTTCATCGTCGGGGCCGTCCGTGTATTCGATGTCCTCGGCCATCGCTCTGGCCTCATCGGCGGTGTGCGAAACACCGACCAAATTACGCCAAGCAATACGGTCGAGCGAGTGACAGGCGGCGCAGACCTCTCTGTAGACCTGATATCCTCTCCGAATGCTGTAAAAATAGCCATGAGGGACAAGTAGAAGTACCAATGTTTTCACTCACCTAGCGTGGTCGAAAGTGTCCACAAACCCTTTGTGCGACCAGGGGTACTCGGGGGGATGAAGTCCCTCGTCACTGGCGTGGCTAGCGTGCACTTGCGAGAGGAAGGGAAGAGATCCGTAGAGATGAGTGTACCACGCAACCGAACCAGCAGTAAAGAGGGACAGAGAGACGAGAGTCGCGCGAGAGTTCAAGAACGACTGTTGGAACAATTGAGACCATTTCCGGAGTACGTGGAATATGACATACCTCAAATGCCGAGGAAGAGGACGCGGTGGATGCGTTACGGACCTAGGTTGGCGTTGAGCGGCCCGTTTTGGCTCGGAAAAGATGAGAAAGTACCGCAAATGGGCGAGCAATATGGAAGGCATTTTTGGACCGAAGAGCAGGGGAAGGAATGGCCCTGCTGAGCGCTCCTGCACCCAGGCGCCTGGACAGCATTTTGTGGTTGGACCGAAAGGATGTGACGAAGGATGCGAGTCTGTGACTTTACATCTCCGGTTCTCTCCGCCCAATCATAGCGAGCTGATGACAGCCTTTGTTGTTGCTTGTTGGTGATGCGCCTAGGCCGCCATCTTCGCATATTGAGGAGCCGCCGAGCCGGGTACTTATTGTATTCGGATCTTATTTGAGCGCTTAAGCCACAGCCGAACATTCGTTGAGCATAGATAAATTATGCGGGTAATGCAATCGGGAGATGAAGTAGTCCAGGAATACAACGGCTCGTAGGCAAAAAAACTTATGTGGTATTCCTCCGCAGGTCCTACGATGCCTACAGCAGACACTCGCACAATTCTAAAATGGTGAGATTTAAGACAGGAAGAAATTCAAATGCAATTACCTTCGGCACAGCAGCACAAACACATTCCTGTAGACAGTAGCATCGAACATTAGCCATAGAAAACCGCAAGTCGTTTTTCTCACCTGCTAAACAGGCCATGCACCCGCCACCACCACCTGATTGTTGCTGAGCAGGTTGTTGGCTAATACCACGGCTTTAGAAGGGGATCGTTCTAAAATTGAAGATACGAACACGTAGACGGTCTGGGGCTGAGGACTGGGCTGATATCCCTGTTGGGGGTAACCCTGTGGGGGGCCGTATTGAGGCTGACCGCCGTAACCCGGTTGTTGATAGGCGTTCTGGGGTTGCTGAATGGGGTGAGCAGGAGAAGCAGGAGCTGAAGGTAGCGACACACCTGAGGATAGTAGCCACCCTGCGCTTGCTGAGGCCCGCCTGAGAACAATGAACATTTGTACTTGACAACCGGACGTTGGCGGGAAGCATAGACGCCGAAGCCTCGCTTCGCATACCTTGAGGAGGGTAATATTGTTGTTGTTGCTGTCCTTTGTAGTAGTCGTTAGCAGCCATGATTCGGGGTGGGTCGTCAAAGGTGGTGAGAGAGATCTTAAGACAAAAAAGGTGCTTGAGGCGGTGTACACGTGCTGACTGCGCTTGCCGGTTACATGATCACAATGACGGCATATGGTTAGCCGGGCAGTGTGCACTGCTAATAAGCGACAAGGCACTGTAAGCATGAACGACATTGAGAAGACGAATGGGCAAGTAACAGAAACGAAGGGTAATGTAAGAAAGTACATATTGCGGAATAGTTGCATCGCAGAATTTGTAGAATAATTGGCTGGGATCAGCGAGAAATTGCGTCTAGAGAGTTCATGCGTTGACGGAGGAATATCTGGGTCAGTCGTGTCTGTGCTGCGGTCGATAAGCTTGAGCCGAGAACGGCCTGATTCGGGACTTACGAAGAGCTGTGTACTCGTTATACGGGACGACATTAAAATTGTTGGTCTTGGTTTGTGCCAGTGATGTTCTCTGCAGGCCTGGGCCATTATGACTACGAACGCGCGCGCTGTTCAGAGCAGTCGATTAAAGGGGCAAATCAGCGACTTGCCTTAAAATGCGAATAAGGGTGATACCAAGTTGGAAACGACCCCGCCACCGGACGGATACGTCTGTGAAGATGAAAAATAAGCCCATATTGCCGTTGGGATCTTCGAGATGCTCCACAGTCGACACTAGCGATCCGTACAAGATAGGTTGCGTTGTGTTGGTAGGTAAGGTGGATCCCATGTCCAAAGGAACCGTTCCGTTCTCGGCGAACAAAGAAAGATGAGCTACAAGGAAGGGTAGTTCCTCCTCGCTTGCAGTCTATATATGAGGCTCCAGTAGTGTTTTTGACAGTGACCGACTTACGGCAGCATGATGTTTCCGGATGCATCGCGTACTGTCAGCTGGACAATAATCGGAGGAGTAAGAGGCAGGCGAGATAGAGGATTAGAATTTCCGAATTCGGCTGTTTGCTGGGGATTTTGGACTACCTGCAACTGATACGACCTGGATTGTCGCTGCCTTCAGCATCGAGGAAAGCCGGGCAGTCTGGGTATTCACCGATCTAAAGATGGGGCGGCGAGCAATGCGGACAGCTGTATGCGTGGATGAGCGCGTGATCGGGCCCGATGTGTTGTGTGCTGAATCACGTCACTTCGGTTGGACGAGGAAGAAGAGGATGCACTGGACGAATATGGAGGGGAGGCAGATGTCGGAGGGGAGGATAGATCGCTGCCCGCATCATAAAGAAAGGGGGTCTCATTGCCGGGCGCAGGTGAATCCCGTCCGGAAAACTTGGTCGTGATGTTCAAACGAGTGTGGGCCTTGGAGGTCTGTACAGTCCTCATTCCGTGAAATTACAGTCATAAAGCGTCGAAAAAATCGTATCTGATGGGAAGATTCAGCGGTAAAATATGAGGGAACCGCCTCAAAGTGGGGGAGCGCTGGTATCAGGATTGCTGCTTCGCTGAGCGAGGAGCAGCACCGCGAGCAGGGACGGAGATTGGAAGAAGCGCAAGCACCAACAGGTATCATTTATACCACCGCAAAGGCGTCTTACTTTCGAGATGAAAATCACTGTGGACATCCAGGCGTGGGTGAGAAGTAAGCATGGATCATACCAGTTCGTCCGGAAGTGTCCTGGAATCGGCTTGCTGTCTTAGATGAAGCAAGAAGATGATCCAGAATGAGGGGGTTATGTTAAATTAGAGCCGACATCGATCAAACATTCTTCTTGACATAACTCCAAATTCCCGCCATACCAGACATAAATGTGGCGGCCGCAAGCGCGGGCTTGACCCCAGCTGACGAGATAATCGCGGGTCAGAGTTTGCAGGATGACACGACGGCACGCATACCAGTGGACTTATAGATGGCGCCAGTGAGACCCCCTGCACCCATGCTACCGAACATGTCGTGCTTTCCGCGTATACCGTCGATCGAGGAATTGATCCCGTTGTAGACCAGGGCTATAACAGAGCGTGTGAGCTTTCACGAAGATCGTATCGTACAGAACCACACACCGAGCACACCAGCTGAATTTCCGATGAAAGTCCCCCTCCGTGTGACCGAATTCAATACGCTATTGATTCGCAGCCTTGAATTTGACACCGCAAGCTGCCTTGAAGCGCCTTCGCGCACACCCCAAGCACCGCCAAGAACCAGCCCTTGAAACCCGATTCAGCATGTGACATAAAAGAACAATAAGGACGGCCAAAGATGGGACGTTCGGGACAAAACGATAAGGTGGGAGACGTGTGAGCGAGCCGGAAAGAGAGCCGAACGCACGCCATGGTTCGAAAGTAGTAATTTCAAAGAGATCTCAACGCACCACCGAGATACATGGTCCCTGTGCCATAGCAAAGATCATCACTCCATCCCCTCGAGGGAATAGCTGTTCTAGAGCCCGGCGTGTCGTTCGTCTTATCATCTTCGAGAAGCAGGTAATCTAATTTGTCACCCAACCCGGCGAGTGGGTGCAGTTTGGCGGGGTCGTAAGCTCCCAAGAGAAGCTCTGAAGCAGTCGCGACGTGGTCCGCGCTGGCAGTGCTAGAGTCGGAACGAGAGAAGGTGGCCGAGCGAAGATAATCCGACGGGTTCGACGAGGAAGAAGACGCCGAGGCACCGGGGGCATCCTGTGTGGCCATGGCCGTCGTATGAAGGGAAAATTTGGGATCAAGTCACGCTATGAACCGTGGCGTGACGCACGTCATTTACGGGAATGTTTAGATCGGCGAGGTTCTTGTGCAAATTGACCCGACCTGGAGCAACTAGGTCGCTTCAACGCCCCAACATTACCAGGCCTGAGTCGAGGAGTGAGTTCAGTGCCACCAGAAAATTTGCTGTCTCAAATACATGATAGGATGGGCCACATCCACGACTGCACACTCGACGACTGCTGATCCGGCGGAAGTCGAGGCCATGCAATGGTCGGTGTCTTTTGAGATAGCTTTCCCTTAACCATTCTGTGTTTTTGTTGCACTGGCTCACGTTAACGTAGTTTGGAACAAGGGACGGCGAAATTGGAGGAAGGCGACGTTCATGCCGCAAAAGATCTATACAGCAGGAGTGTCGAAATACGACGCAATGCCTCTTCTCTCTTCAATCTCGGTGTTACTCATTATCACCTGAGTGCGCTATCTCCCCTTCGAACCCACCTCTTCTCTCATCTGTTCAGAGGAATTCGATCAAGCAATCGAGTCGTGGACCGAGTCAATTACCATGCAACCATCCAGTCCTGACGCTCACACGAGTGAGTGCGTCATATTGTTCGGGATGGCGTGGCTCATGGCCAACAGATCTTGCGTCGGCATACATCATGTCGCCTGTGTCACGGCCCGACCTCGCACTCAAGCATCTGCGGTCCGCTCGCGTCTCGACACTGATTTGCATCCTCTGAGTCTGTGGCAGAATCGCCGTGTCCTTATCCCCGGAAGACGCCGAGATTGCGTTCAATCTGGCGGCTGTTCTCGAAGCCAGTATGTATGAGATTCGGCTGTGTGCTCTTGGTTGACCCTTCCTCGTCTGGCAGCGGGCCATCTGGAAGAAGCACTGGAACAATATCAGCGCAGCAAAGACTACGGCGTAGATGTGAGTTCCCGTGTTTTCTCCTCTCCACTGCCTCGGGCCCATGCCACCATAGAGAGCTGCCATTCATATTCGCAATGTCGGCGCGAAGATCTTGGGACGCAAACTGAAGGAAGAAGAAGCAGAGAAAGGATCACAGTCATGATCTCTGTCACCGGTAGAACAGATTGTCCTCTATTGTATTACTCTCTTCCTAGAGCCGATCTTGAGCTGGGTATTCCATCCGACCTTTCAACTGATGTGTTCCATTCCGGTTCGGCCAAGGCTGCCAGCGCTGGCCATCTGTTCAGGCTGCGCGACGGCGCGACACCGTGACCACCAGTAGAATGGACAAAATGGCTGCACCAGCCATGAGTTTCACGTCGAACGACAGTCCCTCCAGAATCCGGTCAATAGCATGGCTGGAAAAGAGAGGATGACATACTGAGCGCCGGATCGGCGACGAATCCCGCAGTCGACCAAGAATTGTGGAGTGTGTCCTGTGAATACAGTAGATGCTGCTCCGCAGGCTCCAGATACAGAACTCGGCTGTGACCCTCCGTCTCATCTGGTAGCCGTAGTCGGAGGAAAATCGCGCGAGGATAGACATGGCCTGTTCAGGATCTTTGATTGTGGGATGCCCAATCCCTGCAATTCAGAGATCAAAATGGAAGGCAAGTTACGACATGAAATAACCTATGTACTCGTCTGCAGTCGGGCCGCACAGATCTGTGAAACGGCATAAGACACGAACAAACGCGGAATCTCGTTCACATACCCGTTCTGGGGTATCGAAGACCTGGAGACACGGTCAGCGCTATTCACCCGGCAATGGTCAAGTGCACCAAAATCCAAGACTGTACACCTTGGCCCGCGTCCCAATGGTGATCCATTGGTTTTCGTTTGGCTAGTGGAATCAGATTCGTAGACTCCGATCTCTTGGG